TCCTACACAGCCACTGAAATGTTCAGCCACCACGAACTGGTATTTCTGCTAAGCAGCTTGGTCTCAACACTGCTATTCCATGACCTTCTCTTGTTTCTGGAAATTGAAGTCCTTCATTTAAACAGAGTTTCAGCCAAGTGTGCAAGTAATTAGTTTCTACTATAAATTTCATTGTATTATTTATATCTATGCACTTTATTGCTACATTAGTCAGTTGCTTATATAGTGTAATGACTAAGTTCAATAAAATGATCAATAGATATGCAATCTGTGCTAGACATATGCCATGGTCTAAGCTGTCTACATGCTACTGACCAACTGTTAAAACTGGAAGCAAACATAAAATGTTCAACTCCACATGAGTGCACTGAAAGAAATTCTTGTTTCATATTTTAGAGACTTCTAAACTATAGAACTTCCTAAATTTCTATAAGGACAGCTCTTTAAATAGTTTGTATTACCATGATCCCATGAAAGCTAGATAAAATTATGCTAAGACCACTGCAAATTTTGGTTCAAGGTCTTGAATAATTTTAATTTATTTCTAGTTTACTCATTGTTTAATTATTCACATTATTGATAGCCCAGGAGATAAGTACAAAGTTTTTCTCCCCTTTCCCATTTGGTCAGACTTAGCAAGTACCAATTGTTTAAAGAAACACAGTTAACGTAACATTTCTCAGTAGTAAAGCAGTTACCAGTTATCACCCAACAGGTTATAATTTCAATCCACCAAAACCTCCTTTTTCATACATTGATCTACCTTCAAGCAGCGTGATGTATCTAAACTAAGCTAACATTAAATTATCCAAAGACTATGCTCTTTCAGATAAAACAAAAATCCTTAATTCAGAGATTCTAGTATCTACACATGTGAATTAGAAGAGTGTACTACTGGGTCAGGCAAAACATAAACTGAACAATAAATTTTAATCATTCATCAAAAATTGGAATGCAACATCTATATTTCAACAACTTTATTAACATAGTCAAGCAGTGATTAACATTCACATCTATTATGTCACATCATACAAATGTAAATACAAAATTACTACAGTACAATATATATTCTCTGCATGATCCAAAATATTTGGTGGCCCCAAAAACTCTTTTAAAATTCAGCAGCTTATCAAAAATTAAAACCATATTCTATTTAAAATGAAGTTCTGTTAGCACATAGGCAGACTTCAAGAAATATCACTCAATTTAGTACAGTTTGAGAGGTTGCAGGAGGATATGTTTGAAGGAAACATTCCAACATTGTGGCAGATACAGAAACATAGGATTTAAAGCTTTCAAGCAAAACTTATACAACCTAAGTTGTCAGCAGAAAGATCTGGTCACCTTTCATTTAAATCTGTTTTTTGTACTTCATCCAATTTAAAATTTTAGAAGTCTCTAGTATCACTAAGTCAGACAATGTACAACATAACTATCTATCTCTTTCCACAAAAAAAAAGATACTACACTGCAGATTTCAACAGTCAAATAAACCTCCTTACACCAATCTTTCTATTCTCATTGCTGTCCTCACAAAAAAGACACAAACCTTGTTAATTTTGTTGCTCACTCAAAATAAGGAAATAGATACCTAAAGTGAAAGTAACACAACAGAACAAATTTATAGAAAAATGATACTATACTGTAAATGCTGAATTCTTTGAGATGTGGATTTGGCTTACTTAAAGCATACTTTAACACCACACAGGGATTCATCCTATAGAGTAATTTCAAACTTCCCTCATTTACGTACATTCAAGCGAGTGAATATCACTATTTTAGCAGAATATACAAGGCAAGTAAAAGAGTACTTGCCTCAGTTCCCCATTTAAAACTGGCTTGCTCCAACTGTTAAGTGCAAAGAGCAAGCATCAGTGGCAGACAAAATGCAGTTTCTACTGGAGAATACATAGAAGACTGATGGATACAAATCATCCTGGAGAATGCATAGGTGAGCAAAATACAAAGTTATTGAACAAGCTTTATTTATTCAAGGTGAGGTTATGTAATGTTATAACAAATATGTGTGCAAACTACATCAGCATCTATCTGAGATTAACTGCAGAATATTTTGCCATTTCATTGTAGAGCTTAACCTTCATCTAAGACAGGAAGTCACACTTTAGACCCTATATAAAAGCTTTGTCATCCTCATGAAAGAGATAGTATGGAAGCAGTTAGTGTTAAGTTACAACTTCTTTCCTTGAAAATATCTAAAACAAATGATTTCCAATTTAATGTTGCATTTAAAGCATTTTAAAAGAAATATTTCAGCTGTTTGAATATGGATGCATTCTCCTTAAGGGAAGAATGTTTTTGCACCTTATCTGTTAATACATTCAATATGAATAATATAGGTGAAGCAAAAGTCATTATTGTCCCACAGTAGAAGGTTAATTTAGAATAAGTTTAAGACAAAAGGAGCTGCCTAAATGAAATACATAAACTGATAAAATTACAACACATTTTATTAGCATGTGTTCTGAACAAAAAGGGTACAAGAGTATTCACCTGAGATAAAGCTAGTATTTCAATATTTCTAAGTAGCATTGAGTTTTGCTTGAGGAAAGCCACTTGAAGTTTTAAAATATACATTTTGCTATTATACAATATATGCAGTTTAAGTAATTAAGACTGATGCTAACATGAAAGTCCTAAAAAAAAATCACAGTGTGTATCAATATTATTAGTCACAAAATTTATGCTACTTTATAACTTTAAAAAATTATAATGATTACAAATTTTAACCTATTCTTCTAAAACTGATCTTCTGAGTACAAGCTTCAAGAAGCAATGAACTAAAACATAAGAATTAGTTTCTTACAATTTAAATATATACATACTCACTGATTAAGAAAATAATCAAGCTTTGGAAAAAAATAATACAAAACTGATTACTTTTGCTTGCACTGGTTAAAATAATGAACTAGTCTAATCTGTTTTCCAAAATGAAATGAGCAGTTTCCTGACTGTTATGAAAAAAATTTAGTATTGAACTTCACTTAAGACTAATTTAACAGCAATTTTGAACTGCCAAAAAGATGCATTTATAAGGATTTTAAATACACTTTCTGTTACCAACTTAGGTTGATCAGCAGCTTTTTTTCACTCTCAGAATCCTTCAAAAAGGGAAACTCAAAACAAGAAAAAGGCATATATAAAAACAGTAAACACTGACCTCCTGAGGTTCCTACAACAAAATTATTCAAGTAGAAAATCTACACCATTACATAGCAGCGGCTATTTCTGTAGTTTAGCACACTAACAGCACTTTTTCAGTGTGTAAGGAGCAAATGAAGTAAGCCGTGCTTTTAGCATGCCGAGAGGCAGAAACACTGGAATGTAACAAAGACAAACTCACAATTCTACCAGAACATTCAGTCAACATTCAAGAACTGTCAAGACTACACCACAAGAATTAAGATGCTTTTTATATATCCCATGATGCAATAATTCGGTTTTAAATATTAATGCTGTTTCAGAACTTCCCTTCCCTCACATTACACCCTAAAAGGATTCTGCAAATCTCTGCACTATATTATGCAATAGGTATATGGTTTATTGGCTTTAAAATATACCATGAGAGAACTTATTGATACAAAACTCTGTTTTGTTTATTCCTGTACTAGTTATTCCTGCCCTTTTTAATTATTTTCCTTGTTGTCATAACAGTTCAATTCATAGCTGTACAAGTATGTATTAAAACAAATATGTACAAAAGTGGCATCCTAAGCTAATCCAAGGTAAGGTGGAGTGGTTTTATTTGGTTAAAGGGGCTTTCTGAAATTTAAGAAATTTAGTTAAACCCAGATTTTTGTTGTTATGCTACTGTATTATTTGGGTAGGTTTTCTATTCTACAAACTTTTTGATGTCATTTCTCTGAAACTCTTCCTTAATGTTTAAACACACTTAAAATTAAAGCAAGTTCGGATCTAAAATTATATCCCACCTTGCTAAATGTTGGACAGAGATGTTCCCTTTCAAAATTAAAGTTTTTTTATTGAATTTTACTAATATATATCAGTTATTAGTTGAGAAGGTATTTTTGGTTTGCTATCAAAGTAATGTAACTTGAAAGCAAGTTATCACATGCAATTTGATCAAATTGAATTAATACTATGTACTGGCATTATCAACTATATTTCATACAGTACATGTCCAAACTATGCTTCAGGTATAATCCACTAAAATTTGCAAAGCCAAAAAAAAACCCGGGGGGAGGATGGGGACAGGACATAAAACATGCATGTGATCATGCACTGAAAAAAAAAAAGTCTGAACTCTTTAAACAGCATTTTTAAGTTCACACTCACACAGCTCAAACTTCAGTGCAATAGCTAAATCATTCAACAGTCAAAGAACAGAACCATGCAAAGAAGAGCAAGTTCTTAAAAAAGCCCCAACCAAAAAAAACCTCAAACCAAACTAAAACCATACCAAACAAAAAATAACAAAAAACCCCCAACATCCCAAACCAAAACAAACAAAAAACTACCCCCCCAAAAAAAACCACAACCCCCTCCAAGACCCCCCAAAATACACAAAAATAATCCCCAAAAAACACCAACCAAGCAAAGAAAGAAAAAACAAAATTAAAAAAACAACAAACAAACAAACAAACAAAAAAAAAAAAAAAACCAAAAAAAAAAAAAAAAAAAAAACCAAAAACAAAAAAACCAGAAAACACCAACTAAACCAAAAACTGTTATCCAGTATCCATTCTGCAATGCAAAGGTGAGAAACTAAATCTACAAAAAGGCTGTTATGGCTTAATTTTGTTTTGCAGATTAATAATGCAGCACTTGAAAAATGGAAAGGTCTGGCTTTACCTCTGACCAGCAGAGCTAAAAATCTCTCCATTTTCCTTTATCATCATGGGATACTCTTTAGGCAATCTAAATTAATAAAGACTTGCCACTTTCAGATGGACACAAGATCAAGTGTACCAGTTAGGATTTCACATTCACAGTACATAAGAAAATACACATGGAAGGAAAAGTAAAGCGTTAACTTAACAAGGATTTATTCACAGGAATACATGTAAGTAGAGAAAAAAAACACAACAGAAAAGCTAAACAAATGAAATGAAGAGGATCCAAACCAACTTTCACTCTGTAGCTTTAAACTTGCACCCTTGTGCATTTAACTACATCACAAAGGGCCACCAACATGCGCCGATACAGTGTAGATACCCTGCATTACATCCATTAACTTAAACATCTCTTAAGATCATGCTTTGAACAAAAAGAAAGCGTAGAAGGTAATACGTTGAGTGGGAATAAACACAAATATAGCAATCTTGTCATCAACTTCTACAATTGTCTTTACGTGCCAACTAACATTTATGCAGCCTTTAACGGGTCTTACCATGTAATTCATTTTAGAGATTCTGAAAAAATCACTAGTATATAACCATGCAGAAAGCACATCACACTGACAGCACAGAGGCAAATATTTTGCACAGCTATATCAGCTTTCCACATTGTGCAGGTTACACACAATACAATATCAATCTTATTCTTAACAGATCCTAAAAAGGTATTTCAAGGCCTAATTGTTAACTACAGTATTTTATATCTATATTCTTAATAAAAATAAATTCCATTGAATCTTAAAAAGGAATTTTAAATGCAGGGCTATATTGAATTGGTAAACTGCAACACAAAACTGGCGCAACATAGGTAAATGTATACCAATTTCATTCTATGTGATGCAAGCATGCTACTTTCCCACTAATTAATATTACTTCTGATCACTATGAGCCAGAACGCATGCCTGAACCTTAAACTGCAAGTTAGGAATAATGCCTTACTCTAGAAATCAAAACTAACAAAGTACAATAATAAAATCATATCCACTACCTTGGTTGTTTTTCTTAACATAAAAATTAAGATGTCAATCTTTCCTGTGCAGTGTACCTCTCCTTACCCCAAAATGAAAGGAGTGACTTAGTCGGCAGCTTGCAGGTTGCTTCGTTTTGTCCAAGTTAACCTTTATTATTTTATGATGGGGTTTCTATACTGTACACTGCAAGTGCCTGTTCCTAATACAGACACAAGCTGCATTTTAACTGTACTAACTTCGTTTGTGTAGTTCTTCATTAACATGCAAATATCTAGGAATCCCACCAAGCAGGATGAAATAATGTAGAAAACCCTTACTTAAAAAAAACAGAAAACAAAAAAGAAAGCCTTTTACTGTTTGTGACCCCCATTCTTAGGTTTCCTTTATTGTGCGCAAAATATTTTTCCTCTTTACGTATCCCTATGGTTCAATTATATGGTTTCTTATTTTGGTACAAATCCCCATAATATTCCAGAATGTGCTGTTTTGTGACTAGATTCTTTTTTTTTTTCTTCTTCACATCCAGTGCAGAGGTGTAATAGGAGACAGATTTCCACCCACAAAGGCTCCAGATGTTAAAACATTTCCCAACATCGACTTAATACAGTGACGGCAACACCTCCCTCCCGCCCCTCCCAGTAGGGTTGGGATTGTACTGTATTCCCTACTGGTTTACCCTTCCCCCCAGTAAAGGGTAGCATTTTCCCTGGGTGCAGAGGCTCCCTCATAGTCTCCCAGACAGAAGGACCTGTAAAGGGAAAAGATAACGGCATAATTACATCTTACCTGGAACCTCTGCCAGATAGGTACATAAACAAAGAGTCTTTTTCAAGCACTAAGTGCCAACCTATAACTTTAAAATGGATTTATGCCTAATGTTCCCTTTTAAGTCTGTTAAGAAACCAGCCCATTTGTATCAGATAAATTATTATTCATAAAACAACAATATATGCTTTGAAGCTACATTGACAGTTCCACTGTTGTTTTAAACTTAGATTTAAGATAAAAGCATCCTATATATTCTAATCAGTTTTTTCCATTTTTAGCACAAAATTATGAGGTAGTTATGACATTAAGAAAGAATATTAAACATATCTGCAACTGACCTAGCAGCTTCCCTTTCAAGTGGATCAACCAAGATAGCCATAGCTTCTCTCAGTTGAAACTGAGAACAATGGTGGATTTTATCACTTTTGTTTCCTTTTAATCAGGAAGAGAAAACATCCTTATGTCAGAACTAAAATGCTCTCATTGATAAGTATGTAGCTGTTTTATTTTTAATCCATTGTTCTGATCAAACATGTAATGCAGAAATTTTATGACACTGACTTCGAAAAAATCTTAGGCTGAATTTTAAATAGTTGTCCATTCCAACACTAAACAGAACTGCATGACTCACTCTCATAATTTCAGTACAAAAATTCTACTAGAAGTATCAAATTAGTATAAAGACTAAAAGAATAAACTTGATTCATTCTTTTTTTTGAGTAATATAATAATCTCATCACAGTATCACACATGAGAAATTTGCTTTATACAGCATACACGGGTAGCATACAAAGCAAGGTGGTATAGTAAGAGGTACTCTGGAATGCACTTTCACTGTTCTTTGTTGAAGCTGGATCATTCTCCACACAGAAGTGTCTAACAGTTCTGAGTTGACACACAAAATGGAACATGGCAATAATAAACACATACCAGACTCCCCCAAACATCAAGCTTTACAGTTACTGTAGTTATTAGCATAGCATTCTTTATTCAGTGGAAATATCTTTTAGTATGTAGTTAGGCCATTAGACTTCTCACAGCTGGTGTGTTAACAAAGCTGCTTTCTTATCCTAGCAGAGTATTCCCACTTAGACCACATCTGCCATCTATTATTTTATAACATATAAGGTAGCCTGTGTCTTTAGTATGATGACTTGAGGATCATATTCATCACTTTGCTTATTAAACTTGAACCAGCACTTCGTCATACCTATACTTTCAACTTTCTTGATAAACTAATGTGTGTATCATAGACTCAGTTTTTCTTTCTTTCTTTCTTTCTCTCTCTGTAACAATAAAAAAAATCAGACAAATGCTTTTGCTACAGTCACCATCACTTAGGTATATTATCATTCCTTCTTTCTTTCCTTCATATAGAAAGTAGTAGCTCAGCAATTCTAGACTGATGAATTAATTATGTTTCATATGATGCAAACCAGGAGAAAGTCCCGGTTCTCTATGGCAAACAGGACTCGTGCTTACCTCTAATTATGGGACTGCAGCTACAGTGCATGAGGTTAAACTCCATAGTAAGCTGCAAGGCGCTCTTTTAAGGGAAGAGGAAACTGGTCAGAGAAACGCCTCCAATTCTCATCCCCAACTTGATTTTTAAATCCATGAAGAATCTACAAATGAGAAAGGGGAAATCAAAACAAGCAAAAAATAGAGGCTACATTATTTACTAGCATCATATGCAGTAAACCACGAAGTGCTGAGTTGTACATTAGGCAATTTGAATTCTCCAGTATCATACCGAAATGCTACAAAGAAGCAAAGGAACTAGAGCAAGGTCTTTCTAATGTGTTTCTTTAAAGGTGACAAAGAATATAGCTACTCAAAGAAACCAGTGTATGTATATGTTTTTATATTTTTTTTAATAGGTAACTTAAAGCCTAGGGTTAAGCCATTTCAGAATGCTTAAATTATAATTTTTTCAATTCATTTTTCGTCTGTCCATCCATCCATCCATCCATCCATCCATCCATCCATCCATCCATCCATCCATCCATCCATCCATCCATCCATCCATCCTATCAACTGACACAGTTAATATATTTTAAGACTACTGTGTTCACATTTATTTTTTGACAGATGTGAAGTATTTTGTGGGAAGCTGAATTAAATGGCAGTCAGCTTTTGACAGAATGAATACCTGTCAATTTCTAGCACAAATATAAAGTCTTTGAGAACTCTGTTTTCTGCATGGAACCTCTAAGACAACTTCACTAAAAATGAATCTCTTAAAACCTTCTTTGTTTTGAAATAACAGGGATCCACATTCAATGGCAGTCAAAAGCCAGTAAAAGAGGAAAACAAATAATCTACAGGTTTCCACTTGGACCATCTGATGTAATAAACTACCTGAAAATGAAATTACATCATTAAAAAAAATCTTAGTATGTTATCTCTTAAAACAGCAAGTAAAAGCGAAACATTAGAATGGACAAAAGCAGACAGAACTACTGTTCCTCATAGAAAATTATACCAAGAAAATCTAAAGTTTTGTTTTCCCTTTTTACGCTCAGTGTAACTGAATTGTGGAACAGTCTCCTCAAATAAAAGGCAATGTCAAAATTCAAGTACATGGTACAAGACTGTCAAGCAGAGCTGTTTTTAAACAGATGTAGTGATAATGTCATTACATGCAACCAGTTAACTTACTGCTTTTCTCCCTCCCACAAGCAGGCTCTTTGCTAAACCCAGTCACACTAACCAGCTGAACTAACTCCTGAAAATCCAAGAATGCTCAGTGAAAGACAAAAGGTTATGAGTTAGATTTTAACACTGGCAGCTCATCTATCCATGTTCTTGACAGTATCTTCTCTTCCAGTTCTAGTACTAAAGAATAAATACATTTTAAAGAAAACCCCAAAACCTGGACAAATCCAGTTTCTTTCCCTTGTTCCTGAAAAGTCATAATTACTGTTAGAAAACATCTACTTGGACTACAGCAATCACAAATTCATGAAGAAGTTGTCTAAAAACCCTGTGTGTTATCACTGAAGAAAGCTTTATCTCCTTTCCTATAAGGCAAAACCCACAAAACTACTTTATAAAATTGTTTGCTTAAAAAAGCAAGGATGTCCTTATGCCAAGTGACCAAGAACCACTCTGTTTAAGTTTGAATGCACTGATTCCCAAACAGATCACTTGGAAAGAATCTGAAAAAGCGGATTTTAATCTGCTGAAGGACTGGTGCAAAAACATCCAGTGAGACTGCTTTGGGCAATCATCACAGACTGTCCAGGACCCCCTTTTAAGTTTTAATTGCTGTTTCATTCTGCTGATGTTAGAATACTCATAGCTGCACCTTTTCTAAATCTAATGCTCCTTGGAAGGAGGCTGGTTATTGGAAAGACTACCTAGGACAGCAAGATTTCTGCCTTTGCTCTTAAAAATGGGGTAGGAAAGTTCTAGCTTTTGATTTGATGCTCACACATGTCACTAATTGAAGAAAAAGTGCCAATACCAACCCATGATCCTAATAAGTACTTAAGAGTATTTTTGCTTTAAGAATATCATGAACCTTACTTTTGACACAGAACTTCCTAAAAATGGGGATTTCACTTTAGAACTTGTGAGGTAAACCACTTCTTGCTCTCTCTCTCCCTCTCTTACCTTTTTTTTTTTTTAATTTAAGACACTAGGGTCAAAATACAGTGCATCACATTCTGGGCAGGGCTTTTTTGTTTTTTACTTACTTAAAACAAGGCAAACAGTCCTTCAGTTTAAATTCTACTGACGCTTTGCCTAAGGATGTATTCTTGGGTGTAACTGCGTGTGTTAGTTTCTTGAAACTTACTCAACTAAGAAGGATTCTGAGGAGGATTAATCAATCTTTTATTTTCAGCAGGAGCTACGAGAAACAGATAAGATACCACTGGCATATTTTTAATTTGAAACTTATGCATGTCTCCAAAATAAAGTAGCCATCTTTGTGACAAAAAACAGTCTCGAACCATACAAATCTAATTTTCTGAAAAAAAAAAAAGTCTTACATGTAGTATAACTTCTCCTGTTCTTCCAAATGCAGGAAAACATAGTAACATAGTAGGCTGGACATTATGAAAAGCTGTTTGAGGATCACTATCCCTTCAAAAAACACCTCAAGTGAACTTTGCAACTATTTAAAAGTTTCGGAATAATCCAAATGCATGTAAGATGATAGAGGCTAAAAAAAGAAGTCAGGATTTTCATGTTGCTTTGTCTCCATGACCACAAACACAGTAAGTGCTAGAAAACACCTTCACTAGCAAGTGAAACAGAAAGAAACCAGAGGATGTAAAACAACCACCACTAGTTTATACTATTACCTTAGAAACCTTACCTTACAGAACATGTCTCGAAGATCATCTTTTGGGCTAATCCATGATGCAACAGCATCACAAAAAAAAATAAAGTCCTACAAGATTAAACAATCATATAGGTTAGAAATCTCAATTTATACATCTGAAAACAATGCTTGATATTCATTCTGTGAAGTGGATGGTCTTTGAACCCAATTTACAACTGCTTTGGCTTTTATGCATTTATTTTCCACTTAATTCAGACAACGGTAAATAATTATTGTATGCCTAAGTGTTCAGCTACAGAAGTTGCTGAGTATCTTAAATTAAACCACAGTGAAAACAACTCTCCCCTCTGGACCACACTAGTATAACTTTAACTCGTTTAGTACACCTACAAATTCAATGTCTGCTTCCTTTACTCACAAGCAACAAATGTATCTCTCACACATTTCCAATTAGGGAAAAAAATTTGTTTTATTTCTTAAAGTAATTTTTTTCTGGAACACAGAGAACATTTATCATACAGGTTCAAAACTAAAGCCACCTCCATCCCTATACTCCATTCATCTGCTGTCATTACCTCCTCCTACACTAACAGAACACCAGTCTTTAAAAATAATGCTGCTAATGCAAGAAATAGGAACTGAGGATGATTAGAGAGAAAAGATGAGTTAATGAAATAGGTCCTTATTTAACCCCTCTCTGTAAGCTACATGAATGAACAGATAGTAGAAGAGTGAAATGTAAAGTACAGAATAAGGCCTAAATGAAATGAACTGAACATTTCAAAACAAGGCAAACACTCAATTCTTGTGTTTCAGGAAGAAGAATTCCAGGCAGAGAAAGGGGAAAGATCAGTTTTGTTATCCTCTTATAAAATATCACATTGATACAGCTTTACTTTGGAGGTGTGGAGACTAAAGATCAAGTCTATTCTACAATTGTACCATTTATTTTAAAGAAATGTTCATTGTCACACTGACTCCTTGAAAAACTGATCTGAATTTGAAACAGAATCTTCCCTACCCAAGTGTTAATAACAAAGGGGTCGTTACTGGTTTTCTTCTGTTTCTTGTTTTAAAAACCTAGGTTACATGTGGAAAATGGGTATAAGAATGTCAACTTTTACCTTATATTTGCATACAGATCCTGACCACAACCTGACAGAAGTATCAAAATACAGTTATTTTAATCAAAGTTCAATATTTACATATTAATTGCCAGTAAAAGACAAAAAACTCATTTTAAAAGTACTTCTCCCCCTTTCCTTTTAAGATGACAATTTCTGAAGGATCATGACACACATCACTCACAATATAAACATTTTGGGCTTCTTGACTTCAAAATAAAGCTACATCAGATACTGCAGGGAATCTCTTCAAGGTAAACTTTTTCATACTCCACATACAGATTTCACTAAATTTCACATAAATTTATGTGAAATTTAAATGAAAATTAGCATCTATTAATGTGTCTTACTTGGACTACTCCACTGGGGTTGACCGTAATCATGGTACATATGCCACGGAACGCTGAATCCTTTTCCTCATTGTCTCTTATATTTCGTAGAGAGGTGCACCTAACAAATTGGAAAGGAAAACTTAGATAACTCTATTACTTTTCTTTAATCAAGTCAAAACTAGATGACAGTATCTGATGGAATAAGTCACACTGATAAGATAATCTGAAACACAGTTCTGAACACTTAGAAAACACTTGTTGCACACAGTTTTTACTAGCATAAAATCATCAGGTATCACCTCCAGAATCTGGCTTTTTGTTATACTGCAGTCAGAAAGTGTGACCTCTATTCCATTAAATACAAAAGAAACATGTATCTAAAATACTTATAGAAACTATCATTATTAGAAGCAGAACATAAAATACTGTCACAGTATGAATTATGTCAGATACCACTTACAGAACAGTTATTGAACTTTTACAGCAGCAAGCAAGCTATTTTATACGTAACAAATCTAAAAACATATATTCCTTACAGCATTTCAAGCCTCAGACTGAATTTTAGGTAATGCACAGTTTAAATTTTACAATATTTGCATGCATTGTATTATCATTCTGGTGGATTTTAAAATGCTCTTTCATTGTCAAGCTTTAACACAGCAAGCATGTGACAATCTTATCCCATGCATAAATTAGTCGTTAGCCACAACATAAAGAATACATGACGGTGCTACTAAAAACTCACAAACCTGATAGGACAAGATTAGTCACATGGTTGGCAATGATTAAGGATTGAGATTTTGTAACCAACTGAAAATATATCTAAAAGTGAGATAGAGAGAAGAAAGAAAGAAAGAAAGAAAGAGAGTGAAGAAAAATGAATTAAAAAAAAAAGATTGAATAATACACACCAGGGTCTTATAAACTGCTGTAGCATGGGGGCCACCTCTTGAGGACAAACGTAACCAAGACGACCAATTGTTATTGCTAAGGTAACGCAATCACGGTTATACACCACCAAACGCCAACCAAGACATGAGCAAATGAGGGGGGAGGAGAAAAAATAAAGAAAAAACAACAAATAACTCAGAAACAGAAACCAACAGAATCTGTGTATGATAATAAACATAAGATTTCACCAGTGCTGTTTATTACCACCCCCTAAATAAGAGGCAGCAACATATATGGTATACTCTCCAAGGTAAAAGAAAAAATCAAAGAAGTATGAGAGAACACCAAAAACACAATTTTAAAAATTCAAAGGCTTTCTGATGTAAGCAGTCATTCTGTCCTTCTTTAGAGTAATCATTTACAGTAAATTTACCTCTACACAGTCAAAGTTTTCATTGAAATGTACTATAATGGATATTTTTTAATAAAGGAAATTAATAATTTTCAGTGTTACTATCAAGTATTCTAAACATCTTATTTTATCCAATATTTAGAATTCAAGGTTTCTATAGACCTAATCTAACAGTAAAAATACATTTCCAAATACTTTTACATAAAATATATTGTGGTCTGCCTGAAAATCCTAAATAGATAGAACACTTCTCAAATGTTTATGTCTTCTTCATAATCTCACAAAGAATTTAATTAAAAATGGTTGCTAACTCAAAGCAATTGACTGCAGAACATTAATTCTTTAATCCTAATATTTCTCCTGCTCACAAAAGTTTTCCTCATAAGATGTACAAGAATCTGACTTCTGATACCAAAGCATGAGGACACATGAAAAGCAAAATTGCTTCATCGCATGATCAGGTAGTTTGGCTCTTTGTTCCAAGGGACAGACCAAAGAAAGTATCATTATGCAAATGTGTTTTAATGGTGTTTGCTCAACTCACGAAAGATTAATCTTTAGAAAAAGGAGAGGGTGGGGAATAATGTATCAGAATTACTTGAAGCAAAATACATGAATAGTACTAAAATCCAGCAGATTTGTATGAAGCAGAAAAAGGAAACCTATGTTCAAGGGACATACTATGCAACACTCTAATTAACAGGCATTTGTGAACAGTTTCATGAAACATGCAATAAAGCAGATGATGCTTTCTCAAATAAAAGTTTGGTGTAGGATATACCAGCAGTCTGAAACATATGAATTTCATGTGATGCAGCTCACTGTTAATGTACTGGTATTAGTCAATTTCCATACACAGCGTCTTAAATTTTTTGGTATCTTACAAAACTTCACTGAAGTTCAAATGAAAATACAATTTTAAGTTTAATCTGTAAATTCTTACAGCTACAGCCTGAACAAGGAACAGAAATCTCTGCCAAAGTGTGTTTTCACAATTGTTTTCATAATTAATTATACAGCAAGCTACAGCAAAACCAGTAATATTCTTACACATACTAGTGGCACACAACAAAATATCCCACAACAAACTTATTATAAGTACACCACACTCAACATTTATTTGCAGTTATCCATCCACATTTAAAATAACTATTAAGAGAATTGAAAAAAAAAAAATCAAATGTTCAGATGCTTCCAAAAATTCTCTTAATAATGGAAGCATACGTACATTCAACTATTGGATGCATCTCAGTTACAAGTATTACACATCCATCAGTGCAGAGGAGGGGATCAGGGCAGGGGTAAGAAAAACTTACATGGTTATACTATTACAGTATTATACTGTTACACTATTCCATGGTATATTTCATATCTAGGTATGTGATTCAAAATTTTCTTTTCAAGAAGTAGTCCCTATAATATGCCATAAAACTAGGTAAATTTTCCTTCAAGTTCACCTTCCATACTAAACGAGATAGAAAGGCAGAGAAAGTGCAGTTTTTAAGTTTAGAGAATACAGAAAGAAAAAAATGCTTTGAAAAATCTCTCTCAAATTATCTCTTACTTTGCTCAAAAAGTACAACCGTACAATTGCACTTGCATCATATAAAATCATGTCAGATACAGCAATTAAACTCTCATTTTCTTACAAGACATTTTCAAACAGAAGGAAAAGAAATCCTCAATTAGTAAAATAGTAAACAATAAACCCATCACTTTATCTATGATTTTTTTCTCAAGTATGGAAGGTGCTTTTCATACCAGAACAAGCCCTCTATAAATGCAAAAGAAACAAGCCTCAGAAATTCCAATTCAGTAAGGCATTTGGGTATTACTCCCAGTTTGGAATGCAAAGTCAGAACATAAAATATGCATGCCATTTTTAGAATTCTTTTTAGGAATCTGTTGTTAAGTGACCAGGTAACAGAAATTACACATAATTTCAGTTATGTTGTGGTAAAACTGCCATCACAGATCTAGATTTTTGTGTATGATATTGTAAGTTTGTCCTAAAATAAAGAGCACTTATTTGTAAATTGAAAGAGTTGATTGTTTTATACAGGCCAATTACATTTTTTCCAACACTAGACATATATATATAGTACACGTTTAAGGACATGCATACATCAAAATCAGTGAGAAATTAAATCTTAAGTGTTACTGCATACATTTGCCGTGTATCATACATAAATAAGACTGGAAGAATTATTAAATAGATGAAAAATAGATATAATAAATGTTATAATAGGAGAAACCAATTAGAATCTAGATATATAATTTGCTACAAGACTGAGACTTGTAAGAGCTTGTGCAAAACAGAGTTGCTTTGCTTATAAAAGCCAAGTACATAACAAAACCAGTTCTGGTGTGGTTCCCCTATGCAATTTCAAAAAACAATCACTAAAAAAAAAGAAATCTTTTAATTCCCTTCACCATATACAGGTTATTTTTTGGGTACCTGTGTTCTCTAACAACGTCTTTGGTGTGTTGGGTCTGTTAATTATTTCTACAAGCTGGTGCAAGACCATTGGAATATAAGGCTGCATTTCTATACCTGTAACAACAATTTTAGAAAAATCAGAAGAAAATGACCATTAATATACATAATGTAAACAGAACATGTACATGCAACTAACAAGGACAAGGATTACAAATGTAATTTAAATATTAACATAAAGGTATCACTTAAAAAAAAAATCACCCAGAACCCCCAGACAAATAATTCTAAATGTACAGAGATTTTAAAAAAAATTAAATCTTACCCATCTGAATAGAGATTTCTCCAATTGCCCAGGTGGCATTGTTACACACAGAAATGAATTCAGGGTTTAGGTTGGTTCCCAAAATTGGCATGAAATCAGCTAGAAAGAACAACATTTTAAAAACTCATCACACAATACAACCATCTTGTCCTATTACTTTAGGATTGTGAGGGGAGAAAAAAAGGGATGTTTAAGAAAAAGATCGTAAGCCTATTTAAATACTTGGAAAGTGTTACATTCAGATTCACAAGAGCTATATTCCAGCTATTTATCAGATTAACCTGGAATTTAGAACCTAAGCAGGTAAATGCAAATATTTTAAAATTCTGCTTTTGGAATCTTCCTAAAAGGGTTTATCCTTATGTAACTTTTATGTAGAAATATTCTCCTTCCCTTTCTCAGAAGTAGTGAGAGAAGAGACAGGAAGAGAAGAAAAAAAACACAGCTACAAGCACTAGTTTTATCATATGGCTGAACATCCCCCAAATCACTTGGATAACCATGTATTCAGCTACCCATGAAAAAACAACAAAGACTAGAAGGCAATTACATCTTTGATTAAATTTTAAGAACAAAAAAGGCCATCATAACATCTGCCAAATAATTTCAAATTCCAAGCTTATTCAAACATTCATTTGGCAAGTGTATCTCAACAATATCTGTGGGAAGAAAGACCAAACATTGTGGAAGTGTATCACTGATGCTACTTTCCACAGAAATAAAAAACAAAGCAGAAAAACAACTAAAATCTTAATCTCTACGCCATTTTTGGATTTATGTATTAAGACATATTTTTACTTAACAATAAATTCAAGTAGAACAAAAAGAGCTATAAAAATAAAGAAGAAAAATGAACTTTCGCACTGTCCACAAAAATAAGAACATATTTTCTTAACATACAATTAAAAGGACAAAAGACTACAGACTTTTGCAGAAAATTACCATGTATCACACCATAAAAAGGCAACCCACAGAACAGAGAGTATAACAATGGCTAATACAACTTCTTAGACATTTTGAAAACATGTAAAAGAAACATACCAATGCAAGGTTTAACATGCTGAAAACATGCCTTCGTCAGGTCACCTAACAACGCAAAAGAACTCTGCCGTACCTCAGGCATTTTGTCCTAAAGAGAGGAAGAAAAAAATTACAATTCTAGACGAGTTTCTGATTCTCTAAATAAAGGAAATGTGTAGATTAAATAGCTTAGTCATCTCACCTGCATGCATTGATACATTAGTGTCAGGATATTGCTGCGAGCCACTAGCTGTTCAATGTTGCCTCCAAGTCCTTCAGCTAAACCACTGAGTAAATCAAGAGCCACAATCATGAAATCTTTATCTGGAGCCTCATATTGATCTGGCTGAGCATTATGCAACTGCAACAAATAAGTACACATTTTCAAAATTATAGCAGATTCTCTCAGAAGCACGATAAAAAAGCTGCAGAACTGCACCTTCATGCAGACACTCAATTTCCCTGCACACCTCTAGTTTTCCATAATTAACACTTTGGTTTATCAAAGTAACACTGGAATAGTTATAGCAAAATACCATGGCTTGTGCAAGTGTCTTCTGCACCAGATTTACACAGCGCTGGTACACAGGTTCACAGTATGGAAGAAAGCCAGATTGCAAGGCAGTAGCAACTGACGACAGGCACTGGAATTAAAAAAAAAAAAAGGAGAGAGAGAAAGGTCACTACTTTTCTTCACATGCCTGAAGAGTGTTTTTACTTGGGAGAGGGAATTTGGAACTTAGGATATCAAGTACACCAACAGGTAACTGATTAAGTAAACACAACCTAGAAAGGCGGTACCGATTTAGCTGAGCCAAGGCAACTATCAGCAAGTTGTTACTCACTCCTGCGTACGCCAGTTGAGAAAATTTGTCAGCAGCAGCATCTTCTTAAGAGTTAGCCAAGGAAATGCATACAGAACGAGTTATGAGAGTTCAGACAGCACTTACACTAAGCTGCAGTATCTTGACCATAAACAAGCCCTAATATAACCTAAGAGTTACAAAACTAATTTTTCTAGAGGTGTTTTCCTCTAGAGGTGCTTCACACTCAGCAAGTAGAGAGCATTAGACTACATGGCCTGGTTCATACCTTCAGCTTGTCTGACAATAGTTTTAATGGAGGGATGAAGGGAGAGCAAGGAGAGAAAAGACAAGAATAAAAGGAGGATAGAACCCTTTTTTGTAAAAGAATCCTATCAAAGAAAACACTCCAAAATGGCAGGAAAAAATCTAAATTATTTCTGTTAAACCTAAGGACATTTATTCAGTCATAAAATTTTCCCACCACAGTCAGAATATATTTTCCCTAATGGAAAATTGAAAAAAATTATCAGCTTTTATAGTCATATTTCCTAGGAGGAACACTTTTAGTAAAAATAAATAGTTTTTAAAAAAACTTGATAAAAAATATTCACATTTTAATATTTACCTCTAATAAAGGGAAGAGATCTTTATCTTCATCCTTCAGCATGTTCCACTTCTGGATTAATGGAGGCATTAGCATCTGAATATATTCCTGTTTAGGATGAAAATGCTGCTAAAACACTTTACTGCATATCACTCTATTTCAAAGCTAAAAATTAACTGAGATATATTCTACTTTTTCATATAAAGGAACAAACAGGTGTACTATAATTCAGTCATTGTTGCAATTTATAGAAATATTTTAATACTAGATTTTACAATTTGCATTTGATATTTTTTCCTAAAGCACAGAAGTACCTTTACAAAGGGAATCTCTTCCTCCAGGTTTGATTTTAGCATAGCTGCCCAGGTTATCTATCTGACTGCCATAAGGTGTCAGAAAACATTTTTATATTTACATTGTGGCTCTACATCTGCCACCTACTTTTCTCAACCATCTTCTACTGCCCTGATGCTATAACCCTATATCCATGACCACAAGTTCTGAAACTTCTTCCTCGAACTAACCATCCACAAAGAAAGTAACTTCCTATCCCTCCAGAAGGAGGTACTTTGCCCTTCTTTATAAAGCTGGATTCCTTGCCACTGCACAACCACAGTCACAAGGACACTAAGCAAGGCATCTCTAAAGTGCTGTTGCTTGCAGAAGACATCCAAAGAGCCAACTGATTTTGCTATGTCCAAAGGCACAAAATTCTAACTGACTAAATAAAGTCCCACCCTCATCAGGAGCTGCCACTCAGCTTCCTCCTGGTACTGTAAAAATATCAAGGTGGCCAGGCTCAGAGAGACTGAAAAACAGGTCCTTGGATGGTGTGGGGTCCAGATGGCAAGTAAAATGGAAACAATTAAAAGCGTTTTTTTTTTTCTAGGGCGTATATGTAATTTGATGTGCTATAGAGAAGTAAAACAAGTCTCAATAACCATCATAAGATGCAAACATATGACATGCACATCTTCTACTAATTAATACATGTACACTAAAAAAAACCTCACCACATCTGCCTGTTATCTGTGCTTTGTCCAAATGCGGTACCTATGGTGATATCTCCTCTGAGCTAAAAAAACTTGAGGCATGAAGAAAACCATGACAAACAGCACATTTCACAACAAACCACACACTTTTTGTTTACTCAAAATGGCAAATATTTGTGTAGTGGGAGAATTATGTGTCGTCTATGTATTTTATCTGTAAGCATGCAGCACTAATAAAAGGTACAAGGAAAAATCAGCATTTCTAGTTAAAACATGTAAAGCATACTACAAAAAACACTGAACAAGTTTTTCAAATACAGGAAGTCCTTCTACAGAACATAAGGTATACTCACTGGTTTATTTAGATGATGTCCTACAGAATCTGCTAGAGTTCCTATAGCATCATAAAGAATGAGCAGGTTTTTATGCTGGTATTTACTAAATGCGAAGACCAAAGTGTCAAGTATATATGCAAGATAAGGAACAAGCTCTGTACAAGCCTCCTCTTCTAGAGTAGCAAAGGCACTGAAGGACAATAAAACAGGTTAGTATCTTGGAAATAATGAAGCAAGACAACCCCAAAATACCCTACTTAACCTATTTCTGTTTAAACAGAAAGATGTATTTAAGTCCTCAAATCAATATACTTCCAAAAAAGTAATACTTAAATAACTTAGATCTTTTTCAACTGAACACAAAATTACCCATAAGGATCCAGCTCTCACATTGTGAAGAACAAAATTTTAAAGTATTGCCATAGGGAGTCCCCCACTTAAAAGGAAAGCATTAGTTGAAAAGTTACTAACTAGAACAGAAGGAACCACAACAAAAGCTGATTACTTAAGTTAAAAATGGACTACTATCTTTTAATGTACACAGTAGCTGCACATAGACATTTTGATGCTGCTGTGCCAGTACAATGCAGACATCACTTCGTACTGTCAGTTGTTCATGACACAGGAAAAGATATAGAAAGATATGGAAAGCTAAAAGCAATACATAGGATGAACAGTTTTAGCTGCTCTTGGTCAAAGCACACATCATGACATCATGGAAACTTTTCAGCTTGTCTATCCAGTGTTTCAATAGCAGCGTTAAGGAAACCCATCCAAAATGAAACAAAATCAAAAAAAATCCCCCCACACCAGAGACACTGCTTCAGACAAACATTAAGTAAAGGAAAAAATTATTGAGCTGGCCTAGCTTTCTCAACAAGATTATTATTAGCTTGTCTCTGCACTAAAATGCATGCACCACTGCATGAGGTGATCACTTCACTGTATGCTACCAAATACAGAAATGCTTGTTTTTTTAACACAAGAGAACTGTGAACTCTAAATAGCTAGCTTTCTTACTTTATTTATTGAATTATTTATTTTTTATTTTATTATGAAGTATTCTTTCAGAAAGGCATACAACTTGCGCAGGAGAACGTATTTCAGTAAAATATCATTTTGTGTGTTGCCAAGTAAAGAAGCAGTTCCTTGAAAGTACAGAAGTGAATATTAGACATCTGCTTTTATACAGAATTTAGGAACAAAAACATACAGCATCTTGTGACAATCTTAAATTTGGTAGACATAAACAATGTATGCAACTACTCAGTGTTGGGATGAAGCTCTTTGTTGTTGTCCAAGAACGTTCATTGCATTTCCTTACAATTAAAAAAGCTAGTGAATATGTTTTGACTTGCAACAACTCTACACTTTCCTTACGGTAAAGTTTCCCAGTTTATTTATAATTGCAATAGTAATTTTAGTGAATCTCTGCTCCAAAGAAAGTATCTCTAAACATGCCTCAAGTCTGACAATGGACTTTAATAATAATTAAAAAATCAGGTGTACTGTAATTTTTAATATTTCCATTCTAGATTTCCTGATTTTCATGGCACATTGCACATCTGTCATAAGCACCAGCTGAGGTTATTTAACTACACCACATTTAACGACACATGGTTGTGTTCAACTAAATGCAGATTTTCAGCCATTTTTTTGGACAAGGAAAGCTTGAAGAGCAGTGTAATATTTTCCTTTGGGGATTTTTTTTTCCTTGCTTGTTTTGTTTGGCTTTTGCATTTGTTTTTTTTTTTTTTTTTAATAGAATAAATAGACAAGACGTTAAAGCTACCCAAACTTGCTAGCCAAATTTTTGCAGACGTTTGGAGACAAAGAGGAAACAATTTAATTCCTAAATCTTACTAAGTACATTTCATGAAGTCATTGTATCTGTTCTCAAGCAAGGATATATATTCCTTTTGAGCAAAGCTTAGCCCATGAACCCTGAACTCATCACTCTCCTTAGGCACTACTGACATTTGGGGGTGACTATTATTATTATTATTATTATTATTGATACTATTATTATGTTTGAGGTGATCAGAGACAGAGGTAACAGCTTCTTGAAGAAACATTGACAGCTTGCTTTGCACACTCCAGTCTGACAAAAACTGACATAAATTTTTTTGATGCACAAGGGGGTGCACATATTCCCATTCCATTAATGCTGTGTCCGTTAATTAAGCAATTTTTTTTTTTAAAGAAGTAGACGTGGGGGAGAAGGAATCTTACATCCCAACATCTTGTTTCAAGAGAAAGATAACATCCCTTGAAATAATCATAACCAAAATGTTTTGGTAACGCTAAGTACAAACACTTTCAGTAATGCAATGATAGGACAGCTTTCCACTGTATTCAGTTCTGACCATATTCACAGACATTTTTAAAAAAGGCCAAATTTCTGGTCAATGAAACAGCATATATTGAAAGTAAGTGTTGCAAGCAGCTAATTTACTACAATAAATTACTTAAGCTGGTGTTTTACTCTGAAAACAAACTGCACAAGAGAAATAGATGTTAACTTTTTTCATGTTATCATATTTTGGGAGAAAGTTGCATCTACTCTAATTTAAGAGGAAGAATATGTTAAGAGCTAGAAACGGAGTCATGCATTGACTGGTAAAGGCATGAAAATAGCTTCCCATGGGAAACAAAAGCAGTGTAACGGATAGTGATGTTTGCTTAAGTTTTGGCTTACCTGCAGGCAGCTTCTTGTACTCTCTTGTTGCTATCCAAGATACGCTTTAGCAACTCAGTCATTAATGGCTTCAAGTATGTGTCTGGGGGTTGACTAACTACCCAGTGTGCATAGCGACTAAGAGTCCAGCATGTAATGGAGCGCACAAGAGCCTTTTTGTCAGAGAGGCACTGAATAAGGTGAGGGATTAGCTCTGGAAGATATGGAATCATACCCTGCATGCAGCCTGGAAAGAAAAATATAGCTATTGCAGTACCAGAATTAATGAAAAATTCCACTATTTTCTGTTTCCTATGAGAGACATACTTTCATTCTCTATCATGTGGGAACACAACATTCAGTTAAAAATACAAATATTTTAACAAAGCAAGTCCAACAAATTTATATAAAGTTCTAAAAAAACCTATTGCATAAATAATAATAATTATTATAATTAAATAATTAAAATTATTATATAATAATTAAATCATAAATTAAAGTTACATTATTTTCAATTACATTTCTACTTCAGTGCTTCCCCACTCTCCAGAAATGTTTTATTGAATGTAGTACAGCAAGTACATCCAAATAAAGTTTCTAAAGCTTGAAGTTCCTACTTCAGTCTACTCAGAAAAAGCAAGAAAATACCAAGTGAAGAAAGAGTATCTTGACAACAAATCATCACATGAGAAAGGATTCCTTAAGAAATTCAAATTTCTTCATTTTTCCTAAAATCATACCATTATTGACCAAGAATAAAAGCTGCACCCTTCAAGTCAGCAAGGGCAATAAGACACTGAGATTTACCAGAAGTACTAACTTCCACCTTGCTGGACTTCAAATCAAAACCAACTAAAACTTTTCTATTAACAGTAAAAAAAAGTATGTTCATTAGACAGTGAGGGGAAAAAAAGATAATCTAGGCATGAACCCAAATCTACTTCTTCAGCTTGCAGAAGCGACAGAGATGCTGGAACTTCAGACAAAAAGACAAGCAAGACCATGAGTAAGTAAATAAGAATGGAAGTTCCTTCTATTTTAAATAGAGGACCATCTAAAAAAGGCATCTTGGTGTACTGAAGTCACAGGAGTGGTTTTCTCCATTTCTGAAAAACACTTAAAATCTAAGGCTAAAATTTATTGAATATTTACCTTCTATGAAATCAAGCTAGTATTTTGAGAGACATCAACACCCCCACACTGCAAAGTTTAAAAAAGGAGAAATAAAAGAAATTATGTAATCTGTTTAGCCTCCCAAACGTGCATATATTTTAAAATTAAAAATAAAAATAACTGCAGTCACCTATCAGTAGATTAAGAGATTAATCACTAAAACCAAACCAGCTAAGGACATATATGCTTGCTTGCTACTTTAGAACCAATTTAAATATCCACAACCTAATGTGAATTGTTGCCTTACCTTCAGCGATTGCACCAAGAACAAGGATACCAGATTCTTTAACTACCCACTCGGGGTGGAAGAGCAATTCCTTTAACAGTGGCAAGATGTGTGGTAGAAGTTCATCACGAAATACATTAGCTAGGACATCTAGAGCAGCAGCAGAACATTTCCCTGAAGGGAATTAACAGTGTTAGACTCAGACAACTCTACAGAGAATAAATAGGACAAACGGTGTCTTATTTTTCTGGTCTTTCTCTTGCTGTTCTCAGCAGGTAGTGGGACTGTATTTTACCTCTTGTAGTTTCATATGGGCATTCAATGCTGGACCTAAACACTCCTTCCCTCCCTCTGCATCATAAGATTATAGTGTTACAGAGCATCATAAGGCTTTGGAAAATAATGCCAAAAATAACTCCATGTAATGTTTCAAGGTTTCTGAAGCAGAAAACCCAGAGTACTCCAGCCATTATTCCTGGGTGCCATCTTTCACATAGTGCATGTCACCATTTTTAAACTTTAAAAAATTCTAGAATTGTAATTTTATGAAAAGTTATTCTTTTAAACATACTCCTTGAGGAATGTATTTAGGCCCAGAAGAATAGGGGAGCAGAACAAAAAAAAAAAAAAAAAAAGACTGGGAAGTCATATCAGAGGAAGGACAAATATGCATCCTTTGACAATGCAAATTTTTAGACAAGCTTTTATGAATAAAGAATGTGGAGCTGTAATGCTTGCTAGTAATAAGTAACAAAAGAAATGGATTTGAAACAACTAGAAGTCGTTAATCTCTGCTTATTATATAAACAGTATAGTTAGAGAATATAATCCCCCTTTTAACTCTGAGCGGCCAATGGATTCTCAGTGCACTAGGAGGGAACATACTCAAACTCCATTACACTACAGAGAGATCCACTGTGCTCCTGGGCTAAGCCACAGCTCTTAGAAAACCATTTTAATATAAATTCCTTCTTAATCTGCCATAAAGAATTGCACTGGTCTCGTTAGTCAGCAATGCTGCTAATTGTAAAGCTATGCTGGTGCTTTATCTCTGTTCAAATTGGAATATAGAATACTAGATACAAAATAGGGCACACAGTTATGATTTTCAGATAATAGAAATTTTCTCAAATTCAGATAATATATGTTATTACAGATTTCTGAAGTGTTCTACTCTTTCTCTTTCAGGCCACCACTCCTGAAAAACTTCGGCTTTCTCACTGTTTTAATCAAAACCGTGCATCACAGGGCACCTTATGTCATTTGAGCTCTTTCACAGAAAATGAATATTTAAATCTGCAATCTCTACACACAGCATCGACAAAAAGAATATAAAGAATATAAAACTACACTTTTTTTCCAACATGTAGCTTTACAGAAACAAGCATGTTTGCACACATATTTTCAACAGCAACAATTCTTCAGATATGTCTCAAAATTGTTCAGCCATAAGCCTGAAGTTAAATTCACCTGTTGTGAAAACTTGTGGCCTTGGGGGAAAAGACCCTATGTGGCTATGTCCACATCTCAAAGCATTATTCCACAATGAGTTTGTTAGCAAAGCAAATTCAAATCAGATTTGTCAGAATTTCACTAGCTATTTTCTGTCACTGAACTTTAAAAAACAGTGTTTTCTTTCCTTATAACATAGCCTATTAACCTAAAGGTCCTATGACTCCCACAATAGGATATCTGAGCTGTTTTTCTCAGAGCCACCTCCTACATTCACAACTAGTACTGTATTGAGAAGCAAATTTCTCACTGAGAAAAGAAACACCTGTAAGGGCCATAGGCAGTAGAATGATCACATGGAAATAAAAACAACCCAAACCAAACACAAAACAATTTTAAAGGGAAGTCTGAAATTAAAGAAAGCATTATTAAGCCTGCTCCAGTTATCAATGTGCAAAGCTTTTTTTTATTCTCTTTTTAAACTGAATTTAAACAAGTGATACAGGATTTCTATTATTTCATAGAATTAAAATATTAAGCCTGAAAGCTCCATTGAATTGTATCAAATAAATACTTATAACTCAATCTGTCATTCAAAATAAGATGGCTTCTGCCAATACAGTTATAAAGTCAAAGTGTCATCTCAAAGGCTCCCCGTCAATAAACCCACCAATTATGTCAGCAGATAATTATTTTTGTAGTCACAAAAAAAGCCTTAGTATTCCTTATATACAAACTTGGCTTTTTACTGTGGTTCTTATATTACGCAAGTAGCTCTTGTTCAAAGCATTTCACACATTACTTTGACCTACTTAAATTCCAGTCAGAAATAGTATCATCATCATCAAGTTCATCATCTTCATCGTCATCATCTTCAATACCATCTTCTTCATGTTGCTGAGCCACCGTCTTCGAACGATGGAAACGAGGCCTTATATCCTGCTCACTATCAGGAATGGCTTCATCTTCTTCAACATCCCCCTGCCACCAAATTGTTTTATTAGATAAACTAGTCCAACAGTATTGCTTAAGGAAGTTAACAATGTAGTTTTAGTTCAAGATTTTTTAAGTGTTTACAAGATCCACATCCCACCTGAGCTGCTCATCTAAAAATGCCACTGTTTCTGTGTTCTACTGCTGCATTTACCAGAAAAGCAATAGAAAGATACAAGGAAGAGAGGTAACCTTCTTGTTACGAAATTTCTCAATGGGAATGAAATGGAAAGAAGTGATTGAGAAATTTTGAAACACAGACATAGGCAGGGATGGAAAAAGCCATGAATTCAACTTGCAAGGCATTAGAATTAGTTCTGAACATTTTTTTAATGCTGAATTCTTGCAGTAGTTCATGGTAATAGTATCCCAGCTCTGCCTAAATTGTGTGGGAGAGGAGTGGGATAAAGCAGGAGAGCACAGATCAGTTTCCAACAAACACATCAGTTGCATTTAGTATTTGGAACGGCATACTTTGCCCCAGAAAGTTAATTCTCCACTAAAGAGCTGGTAGGCTAGGTCTGCCCACTCTGACCTGAATCATTCTGATTTATAGGTTAGAACCTAACCAACTATTCCAACAGAGTAAAAGAAACAGATGCTCACCTTCAAAAGAATAATATCAATCTCCGAATATTTCATACCATTTACCAGCACAGGTATCAGCCTACAAAGAAATATTTACAGATATTAAAGTAACACATAAAAAAAGCAAAACAGTTTGAATTTATATGGGACATAACTTTGGTTGTAACCCTCACCTCCCAACTCAAAAGAGAAATACCTTAGCCTGATAAAAAGAGCTATTACCTAAACCAAGTTCCATGTCATAAGATTCATCAATACTTTGTAATGAGAAGAAGTGTTATTTCAAATTGCAAACTTTTAAATAGAAGTAGCACAATGGCACAGCTGATGAATTTATTCGGAAGCACCTTTCAGAAATTACATGTATAGGTTTTCAGTAAGATCTCAAACTCCCATAATATGCATGCTAAGTTGACTCTTGCAAATAGTACTTGTCACTTTATTTACTTGTCGATGAAGACTCTACCTCTCACTACTGTTAAAGATGGAGGCCTAACTACATTAATCTCTCCCATCAACTCATGATTACTTCAGTAAGACAAGCTTTCAGCATTGCAGAAATCTTATCTAATCCATATGAAGATTTACTTAATTATTAAACTGGCTATGGCTACAGGGCTCCAATTCTACAGATGTACAGCTAAAAAAGTACTAAGGAAAAAAACCAAATACTTCCCATTAAAACATGTTCACCACAACAAAAGAAAAAATGCATAAGAATATACAAGCCAAATGAAACTAATAACCAGGGATGAGCAACAGCGACAGACTCAATCTTGCTATATTCTGCAGGTGAGTACTGTTTCTGAAGGTATCAGGCTTGCTCTAATACATACTGCAGTGCCACATTATGTTCTAAACTTTAAATGAAGGAATAAACATTATCACCAATTCATTGGCATTTCTGCAGCATACTTCGTGAAGTATACATTTTATTAAAAAGTCCACAGGCATAAAATGGAACAGATATTAGAAACCACATGAAAAAGTTTAAGAAGTGTCTGTCCCATTTTTAATTTAACATACAAAATTTTAAGATTATCAAGTACTGACAAGCTTATATAGCTCCCTAGTCAACAAATAAGTTGCCTTAAATACACAACAATGAAAAATCATGGGGAAAACATGATGTGACTCTTAATAATTTGTTTTTCTAGAAATTTAAAAGCTTTTTAAAAAAATTAATATGAGGCTGTTGCCTTTCAAGGAACTTTCAAGTTCCAAGGTTCATGTAGGCCAAAAGAGATTTAATGCTAGTAGTTGTTAACGACATGGTGTGTGTTGAGAACTTGTAGTATGTAGTATCATTCTTCTGCCTTTTGCCTACAAAAGTAGGAATTAAATCAGACCAGTTTGAAATTTAAAAATAATTTCTTGCAACACTTATTCTCCTGGTTTTAACTCCTAGTCTTTCTCTGCAATAGTACATGTTTTAATCTCAATTTTCTATTTTTTAATTGGTTAGGAAAACCAAATTTTTTTTTTCTATTTTAATTACTTCACATCTATAATGCTATTTTCTGCTGAGAAGGATGTGTGTCCTGTCATTCTGTTCTTCCACTCAAAATCCTGAGAGAACTCTGTCCACATTTAAAAAGTCTTCAATGCATAAATGAAAAGAAAGAATATTCATTTGATAGCAACACTGAAGAACTAATTTCCTGTTGTAAAAGATTTCAAATTAGTCTGGAGGAAGATGCAAGCTCTGTTGCAAACAAAAAGGTATTTACACTATACACATGGATATTTACTCTCATTCAATCAAAGATCTATCTCTCGAAGCATAGGAAAACTTTTTGAAACTTTGAAGAAGTAGGTTTTGAAACTCAAACTACTATCAGGCTGCAGTAGTATGAAGGAACAAATTGTACAGGCTTTCTTCAAGTTAGCTTGTAAGACTAATTGATACAAAATTGATTTCTAAATCCAAGCTGCGTCATTTTGTTTTATGCTCTTTTCAAAATGAAGAACCCTTTGCATGACAATGCACATTGAAGCACTGCACAGAGATGCCTACATAGCAGTAGTCAAGACAACATGTTCATGGTACACCAGATATTACAGGTGATGCCACATGGTGTTGTTCACTTAAGTGCATTTTACCATATCTTTGCATTCATGTGAAGTGTAACAACTTGTTAAATTCAAGGTAAGCACTAAAGTGATACAGTTCAATTGTTTCTGGAATTCACTGGGTCTGAAACCATCAGAAGTCTTTTCAATTTTACTATGCACAAGAACTACCTATGGAACTCTTCTAAGCACACTGCAAGCCATATACACTACCTCTATGAGTATTCATAAACAAGTCAACTGAAACTTTAAGAAGACTGTCTGAAAATAAAGATGAGCTGTAATTCTTGATACTTACTTAGTAAGATGCCGACATAATACCTCTTTACAAATTGGCTGTTCAGCCAAAGTCAACCAAAATTCACATGCCTCCAGAGCCACATTTTCATCTTGGTCCTGGGTCCTTTGAAGCATGTACTACACAATATAAAAATAAATTACTTGCATAAAATAGAATATTTACATTAGAACTTTTTCATTAGCAGCTCAAAGAGCATCTCAGCAATGTAAAATAACATGCTTTATCCTGGTTACGGTCAACACACCCAAAAAAGTGACAGCTTCAATGTGTAAACTGGAGCAGTTTCAGCACTAGTGCTAGATTTTTAACATAATCTTCAACTTAGGGTCAAGCAATGCCTGGCTGTGATCCCAGGCATTTTGGGATAATTGATTTAATGAAGAATAAACAACTTCCATATGCACTGCCAGTCAAACACAATGTCAATTTGCAATTAGATAAGAATAATGTTTTGCTATCTCAGTCTTAAAGGGAAACAAAGAGCTAACAAGTGCAAGAGCAACACACCTGTTCTGATAAATGCTTTTAATTTATCATTTCTGCAATGTCAAACAGGGGAATCTGCACAACATCGAGGAAATGAGACTCACCTCAACTATACTAATCATATGAGGAAGGAGGCGATCCATTCGAACTTCCAGCAACATTACAAGAGCACGGCAAACATTTTTGCGTACTTCAGGCTCCTCATCACCAGCCAGTGCAAAAAGATTCTGTTGGAAAGTAGTAGCAGTTGAAAAACCTCAATTCATCATGTTCAACTTGTATTAGAATTGACATTACTGGCTGACTAAAGGAGATGTACCTCTGTACCTGCCCAACACATACTATAAAATACTATTTTATTTTTTAAAGACATATGGGTTAGCAAATTAACTCTTCAGTCTTTCAGTGTATAGTTTTATTCATAAATATGACACTGTGTATTAACACTGGCACAAAAACAGTACTTCTGGATTATATTTGAGCCTAATATAAACAGTGTCAGTACATAAGAGGAGCAAATAAAATATTCTAGAGAACACAGAACATTCTCATCCAAGTTCAGACAGGCAGACAGGTCCAGTGAAATGCACTTCTCAGGACAGGTAAGGGACAGACTGCTGCCATTACTTTTGCACCTTTACACAACAAGAGCACTCCCTCCTTAGGAAAAGGAAACATCTTTTGAAATACACCTGCTTCTTTTGCTTACAGTGTGGTTAGCTCTGAGCACAGAGTGAATTCAATCCATGGGGCCTTAAGGTAAGAATGGGCAATAAGAAATGGAGAGTTTAGGGGTAGAGGTGGTGGTAAAACATAGTTCAAACCTCTTGATAAATCAGATAGGTAATTTGACTTAAACCTCCAACCAAGAATACACACCCACCTCAATAAAAGAATCTATGTGCAACATAAGAGCTTGAGTTCTGCTGATGATAAATTGATTGACACATGCCACTGCATGAGACCTACAACAGAAACAGTTAAAATATATGTTTCATGAGTTAAAAACATGGGTTAAAAACATTTTTAACGTGTACTCAGGCATCAAAAGCATAAACTAAATATCTTCAAAGACAAGAGAAAATAAATCTATTCATCAGTACCATTACCAAGAAAAATTACTAAACTACATTTTAAGTACTGCCTTATACTTTGATATACCTAATAAATATTTTAAAATAAGGTATTCAGTAAGTAGGCTAGGATGACTACAGCTGGCATATTTTTTCTGAACAGTATGTATGCTCTTTTTCAGCATTTTATGACTGTGATCTTCTCAGACAATAATAATTCCATACAAGTCAATATGGTGGTAATTCAGCTTGACCTTCTTCATTGTTAAGTATGCAACTGTCTTTGCAATATGTTTACAATTCACTGAGACCAGAATGTGTTCACAATACAGATGTAGTTTAGAACTAAAATACACTTATAGTTGGATACATACTAAAACACTTGTGGAAGAAACATTCTAAGAAACAAAGCACTGTCCTTCTATTCCACATGCAAAACCATTACCTACAGGTCTTTTTCATTCTCAGACACAAAAGTCAAATTCTCGAGGCAGAGGCACAAGGCAAAACTACCTGTAGAACCCTTTGAAGATTCATTACAGTATTTTTACTACTGTAACTTCAAATTTCTATTCTGTTTAGACATTTCTTGGAAGACTGTGTCATAAAACATTGTTCAAAAATTGCCTTTTGATACATTTAAAGTATTGCACTGACATTACCAGTCCTTTTCATACCTCAGCACTATGTACTGAGGCTAGGCTGTGGGTAGGCAGGTAGCCTTTAAACTTGAAAATGGTTTAAGTGTCAAAGCCATGAACATAGCAACACAGGAAAAAAGTGAAAGACTGTGCAGTGTGGTAAGGAAAAAAGCATGTTTTTCTGCCTCTCTCCCAGCTCCATAGAATTATTAAGTTTATCTTTCCACAAAACCAAGTTCATGCTTTGTTTTGTAATCTCCTTAGTGAGCATCTTTCATAGATGACTTTCTAAACTCTACTAGAATCCTGTCATTAGTCTTGGTCTTCACTATCTACTACTCTTGGCAATAAAGAATTGCCACCTTAAAGCTGTCAAATATAATTTTCAAAGAGAAGCTAAAACACATTTCACAGAAACACAAAGAATCGTAGAACGGTTGAGGTTGGAAAGCACCTCTGAAAGTCATCTGGTTGATGCATGTGCTTAAGCAGGCCCACGTACAGCCAGTCGCTCAGTCCAGCTGGCTACTGAGTATCTCCAAGGATGGAGACTCCATCACCTCTCTGGGTAACCTGTGCCAGTGATTGGTCATCCTCCCAGTAAAAAAGCTGTTTTCTGATATTCAGAAGGAACATTCTGAGCTTCTGTGTGTGGCCACTGCCTCTGGTTCTGTCACTGGGCACCAATGGAAAGAGCCAGTGCCTTTTTTTTTCTCCTTCTCTTCAAGTATTTACATATGTTGCTGAGTCCCAACTCTCTTGACCTTTCCTGATACAGCCCTTTGCTGGAATCTTTCCAGTATATCCATGCGTCTCTTGCATTGAACAGTCCAGAACTGGACATAGTACTTCAGATGTGATTTCACCTGGAAGATGAAGGTAAGGATCACCTTCCTTAAACCAGCTGGCAGTACTCAAGCCCAGGACACCATTTGCCTTCTTTGTGGCAGGGGCACTCAGCTGGCTCAATTCAGGGTAAAAGCTAGTGTTCTTTGTAATGAATACTACCAGTAACAATCTAATTCTGGAATTTTTCTTTTATACTGTTACTTTGGAAAGATTAATATAGTTTTACAGTGAAGGGATCATGAATCCATTTAATTTGATTCAGCTGGAAGTTCAGTTAAATGCAGATTTTTTTCTTCTGTCAGAACTCAGAAACTTTTGTTAGCAAAAGAATTTTCACTCTTCCACTGCTGAAGCCATTACAAAAGGAATGTAAAATTGTTATTTCTAATCAGAATAATAAGTTCTAAGCACAGCACTGATTTTTTTGTAATAATATGCAGTAACTTAAAAGAAGCTACTTGATTTTCAGAATTATTGACTGATTGTATGAAGAGTTAAGATTCTTGTACTAACTATGAAGACAAACATGAAAATCACTGATGCATGGAATCTCTGTGGGTTTCTGCAGGATCATTTAAAAAAGCTAAGCAGGTTTTAAACAGATCTACAAAATAGTAGCGTTGCTGCTAACATAAATAGAATTTTAACAGGTAACTGTAAGTACAACTCATAAACCTACCGTATTTTTGGGCTACTGTGCTTGAAGAACTGCAAGAACTTAGGTATCATGATATTGAGTGGCCGGTCCAAAACATCACTATCTAAAATTTCAGCGGAATCTTCACAAATCTTCTGAAGAGCACCAAAAGCGCCCTGTTTAAAAATGAATAAACAAGTAAGTGTCTTCTTTCGCATTCTGAAGAAAACAAAATTTAAGACTTAATACAGAATGGGTAATTTCAGCACAACACAGTAAATGCAGCCAGTTAATAGTGTAAATACAGATAACTAATTAATGATTAAACTGAAATATTCTTAAAGGCATTTTATTTAAACCAGCATCTGAGCATCTGTCAGCTCTCAAGCTAGGAGAGTCAGCAATGACTAAGTGATAATTTTAGTTTGATTTGATGCTCATCTATCCAAATATGTTTGGATAGAAACAACATTTAAAAGCTAATTTTTATTTAAGAAGTAAGTAGAAGTACCCAAATTAATTGCATATATAATTGTATTTCCTTTCATAATTCACTACGGGACAAAAGAGAGATATAGTCATTTGAATTTCATTTTCAAATGTGAGGTTTTTTTCCAGAGAGAAAAAAATACAAAACCCTACACAACAATGTGGCATCTTGGATCAGTTGTCTCTGAAGTTCACTTTGTACTTCATGTTTCACACTTTCATGGAGATGTTATTAAGAAATTCAAATGGTGTGATCACAATCTTAATTATTTTACATCAGACGCAGCTTTATATTTTTTCTGTTAGTTTAAAACTGTTATTTACTTATTTCCCTTCATACAGACTAAACAAAACAGTTCATTTCACCTTGATATAGTAGTTGATCACTCTTCCAGGTTAAATTACAAGAAGAATGAACAATACTTTTATATAAGACAAAATTCAATATCAGCTTAATGATGCTAATGGTGCCTAAAATATTAGGTATCACAGAGCAGTAATTTCAGGAGACTTCTGAGCTGAGATATGATGATTATCTATCTGCAATCTTATTCCACTTTTATGCAAAGAAAATCAATTTGTTTGAATGAACAGTAAGAACACGGACCACAAGTAGAAGAAAAAGTATCAAATCTGAGCCACCATTCTGCAAGGAGAACACATGGGCATGTATAAATACAGATAGACATACACACAATACATACACATAGTGTCCCCAAAGAGAGAAAAAAATAATGAAATTCAGATGTTCCTCTTCCATTTTCTATAAATCTCCTTACCTCACAGGTATTGTAATCTTCAGAATCCAACAGGCTGCAAAGCTTTGGCAAGAGTTCAGGCCAATTCTGTAACTCCCCTTTTGAGGCAATGGTTGTTATCAGAATGCCTAAAAGAAACAGAAGAATGGAGAAAATGAGATCTCATATGCTTTCACTTCTTTCATATAAATTCTTCATATTTTTCTCCTCTCAAATATCTAAAAAGCTAAGAAAGTTATGGTTTTGTTAAGGACTGGCATGCATAAAAAGAGGAAGTACATTTAATTGCAAACGTTATTTGAAGGGCTTTGAACAGCAAAGGTGGGTTTTTCCTTCCTGCTTGCCATGAAGGGTTCAAGTATTAGAAATCAAACACCAAGTAACTTCACTTAAGGAAATGATAATTTATAACATTTTTATATCTGCATAATTAATAACACAGCAGGGCAGCTTTGGCTCTAAATTCAGTAAACTCTATACAAATCTGGACCTTTAATAAATACAGAGTATCCACCTCAAGTGACTTCTTTTTTTACTATGATATGAAAGCATGAATGTGGGAATCTGCCATTCAATAAACTTACAACCTAGGGATAAATTACATGTTTACAACTTTACTGTGTTTACACAAAACATTAAGGACACATTCTAAGACCAAGATACCTACTAAGAACTTAAACACTATGGTAGGTCATCCAGTTAGGAGCTGTGAGAGCCAGCAAACACACAAGTCAGCCCAAAGAATCACTAATTATGTTTCCAGCACATACAGAAATCCTGGGAAAAACTAATTAGGTGACAGGGACAGAGAAAGCTACTTATAAACGAGGACTGAATTTGTATGAGTCCATTTTAGCCTCAATACAAAATGCAACAGCTAGCACAATCCTTTATGCTACTGGCAGTTACTTCTAATAAGTATAAACACAGAAGAACTCAACACTACTAAAAGAAATCTCTCAAGCAAAAAGTGTTGGAAAAAGTTTCCCAAGCTTTTTCCTTGAGCTACTCGCAATACATATTTTTTTTTGGAATAAAATGCTAAAACTCTGGTTAAATACAAAAGAATAAAGGACAACACTACAGAACAAAGGACATCCTGGACAGGACATACAGTAACTAATGAATATTTTGCATTATTCTTTTGATGTAATATGCTGGATTTTTAAAGGTCTTACAACTGGTTTCAGAGGATGAAATGGTCTGGCATACAATTCAGACCATACATGCCATTATAAACTTTCTGTACAGATGGTGCTTTGCCTCTGTAACTCCTGAAGCTGATTTCTGAACTCCTTAAGAACTCATTTTAAAAGCTGAACTTCATAACAAAATTCCCCCTTAAAGAGCAACCATTAGCCTTCAACCTCCTCCCGCAGTGAAACTCTCCAGTTCCTCCACTATTTTCAAGTACTTAAATTATTTTCCCTCCTTGCTTTCAATCAGGAGCTATACTAAGGTCCAGCCCAGACTAGAGTCCCTACAAAGTTTTAAGAACAGTTGTAGACACTTTCTTAAGAGATGTATTTACATCCTGGTAGATTTGTGGGTCCTCAACAAAGGCAGCTTGAATGTATCATACAAAATTAGCACATGGGGTTTTAAAACCTACACAGCTGATTAACAGCACAGACAAGATACACTGTGTTACTCACTTGGGGATTAGAATAAGGACAAGCTAAGTAAGGATAAAACAATGTGCAGTTATAATTTGGTCTCAAGTCATGTGCTCATTCTCAGCAAGGTGACTTCTGAAGATGGGATTAACCAGTTTGCCTCCATCTGGGCCAAAAGGTCTGATTAGCACTAGATACCAGAGACCACAAAGGAGAGTGAATACTGCATTAAACCTTCACTGATGTAATTTTGATGTTCTTGCTCTCAGAATTCCTGAGATATTATTTGCAATTGACTCATTAAATTGATAGTGCTTGAACTGCAAAAACACATACCCAGCAGAAAGAGCAGCTCTAATCTCCACCTGCCAACTCATGCTAAGAAGGCAATCTAGGTAGGTAGTAACCTCTTTACACTTCACTAGTACCAGGGATCTAGTGGGTATCAGACAGCTACAAGGTCAGACAGCTGCAAGGATCCAGCAATTCAAACAGAAAGGTGCCAAACATATGCAAAACAGCAACACTTACGCAAGCATGCAGTTCATCAGCTGCTATTCATCTTCAGAGTTCATATATGCTTAATAATCCCCGCAAAGATCACTTAAAGCTGAACAATAATTAAGCTACTAATCCACAAGCATCTCCTATCAGGAAAAATTAAAGAGCAACTGCTTGAAAACAAACAATCCCTAACTCCCTCAAAAAAACACCCACAGACCATTAGCAAACAACCTTAAGATAACAAACCAAGTGAATGAAGCTGGATTACACTCCTTAGCTAGTTACACTGTACTCACTGAGAACTCCTATGAACAAAGAAGTAAGCATGACTTCTATAACCTGAAGTTCAAAGACTACCTGCAACTCAAAGACTTATTTCTACTCTCATTAGGAACTTAGTCATTAATAGAATTCAAGGTAAAGCAGCTTCACAACTGGCAAGACAGCAGGAAATTACTCAGAGAAATGAGTAATTTTCTCTAGACTTTAGTCCATAAACTGAATGCCCGGAGAAGGAATCCTATAGAAAAAGCAAATTATTCTAAATTGTAACTGGTAGATTATTTTATCTAAGAGGAGTCATCTGAGAGAAGCTGAATTTCTTTCTGAACTGACAAGCATACCCGTTTTCAGTATTCAAATACATATTTTATTTTTTTCTAGTTTTTAAGCAGACCAGGACAATTCCTACAACATTGGAGGAAATCATATTATCATATTATCAAAGAACACAGAGAAAAGCAACTTTACCTTGAACTAAGTAAAAAAAATACAAATATACATATTTTATGAAAGAGATATATCAAGACAAGGTATTTACGAAATCAAAAATTCATGTAACAAATAAAACTTCTCACTGGAACTCGAACACCTTTAAGGTCTCTTCTGAGACCATTTCAAGATTTTATGATACTATGAAGTTCTGTACATCACACTTACCTACTGCTTTCTGGCAGAAGCTCTTTTATGCATGGTATGATGATCTCCTGAGGGGATGTGCATATGTGTACATATAGGGGGTGGGGTGTAGAAAATAGCTAACAGAACCATTTCATTGATGCAATCAGAGCATAGCAAGAGTTCTTAAGTCAGGCCTTTACCGTGTTCCTCTTTTTAGGTATATATATTTTCAGGCCTTTATCGTGTTCCTCTTTTTAGGTATATAAGCTGGCAGCAAGCTCAGTTTAGGAAGATTCAAATCTTACATTTCAAGAAATATGATCCGAATTGCTACATCACTTCTAAGATAACAGGAATCTAAAGCATGACATATTTATATTCACAATAAAGAAAAATTTCATTGAAATATGTTGAGGTTGTGACAATTCTGAGAAACAAAAAATTTTACTAATTTAGTAACTCTTTACGCCCCTACTGCAGCTTTCACCCATATCAGAAACACTTTCAGTATGAAGAGGACAGCATTAAGAACAAACTTACCTACAGTAGCTCTAATTAAGGGGGAGGAATCACCAATGTTGTTCAGACATTCACTTTTAATGAAGTCAGTTACCCCATTTGGAAAGTTGTGAAAATGTGCTTTTACATTATTCTTCAAGATAAGACCACTCAAGGAACGTGTTGGCTCATCTGCAACAGAAAGTAATTACAGACAATTTTCAATCAGCTCAAAAAAAAAATAAAACAGATTTCCAGAAAATGCCACAAGATCAAAGCTTATTATAGATATTAATCTTCATTTCCTTATCTCTCCTTCCAGCTACACCCATCAATTCACCCAGCAAACCTTTTCAGGTTCAGAGTACACAAATTAATCACCAACCATATAAAGTTCAAGAAGGGTAAGTGCCAGATTCTGCAGCTGGGAATGGGGCAACCTTGGATGTGCAGACAGACTGCTGGACATGCTGGAAAGCAGTACCACAGAAAGGGACCTGGGGGTACAAGTTGATGGTAAGTTGAAGATGGTCAGCAGTGCCCTGGCAGCCAGGACGGCCAGCTGTGTCCTGGGGAGCATCAGCCAGGCAAGGGAGGGATTGTCCTGCTCTGCTCTGAGCTGGGGCAGCCTCACCTCAAGTGCTGGGGGCAGTTCTGGGTGCCACAACAGCCTAATGTAAGACTAGAGAGCGTCCAAAGGAGCGCCATGAGGATGGTGAAGAGCCGTGAAGGGAAGCCATATGAGGAGCAGCTGCGGTCACCTGGTCTGTTCAGCCTGGAGGACACTGAGGGGAGACCTCATAGCAGTCTACATCTTCTTCTTGTGAGGGGAAAAGGAGGCGCAGGCACTGATCTCTTCCCTGTGGTGATCAGTGACAACCCCCAAGGGAATGGCCTCAATTTGTGTCAGGGAAGATTTAGGTTTGATATTAGGGGAAGGCTCTTCACACAGAGGGTGGTTGGGCACTGGTAGAGGCTCCCCAGGGAAGAGGTCACAGCACCAGCCTGCCATAGTTCAAGAAGCATTTGGACAATGTTCTCAGGCACATGGCGTGATTCTTGGGGTGCCCTGTGCAGGGCCAGGAGCTGGACTTGGTGATCCTTGTCGGTCCCTTCCAACTCAACATATTGTGTGATTCTGTGATACATTATTTCTGTTTATGCAAAGTTAGAACATTGGATTACAAACTTTTCATTTTAAGAGAAAGTTTTGAATAGATACATATAAGCAAGGACAGATCTGAAGTCATGCAATACAAGAAACTCTATTAAAGATGTTTGTCAGCCAAAGACATTCAGACATTCTGATTATACTGACAGGCTTGCTGCAATACTCTTACTGTAAGGAACTGGTGACAAACCCATTTTCACCACAGTAGGATATGGAAATGATGTAGGGACTGTGCAGTAAAACCTCTGCCCCATACATGAATATAGTGTTCAATTTTTCTAAGAAGTAAGGGACTTCAATCCCTTTAGAAATGCAAAATGCCGATCTATAAATTCATAATTAGAGGAAGCAGGAAAAAAAAATCTTTAGACAATGTTAACAGGAAAGTGTTACACAGTATGAGCTAAAAAATAAGTGCAACTATAACTGACCCGAATTGAGTAGGAATTTAAGGCAACAGTTTGAGTTCTGTTCACTGAGCTTTCTCTAAGTTACTGGGCCAAGTAGAGGAATGGAAAAAGAATGGTCTAGATTTTTCATTTCTAGTGAAGTAGATTCATGTTTCGTTCTTAACAAAGGGCATGAGTAACTTGGTATTACATCTGACATCTGCTGAAAGATCTGAATGTTCCATACAGAAGTGGTTAGTTTACAATATAAACGAATTTAAATTTTGTTTACAGCAACCCTAATAGCACTGGAAGCTAATTTTAACCAGCATTTTAGCCACTTGTTGAATTTTTTCTGTGAAGTCCTGATTTGCGCAAAATAAGGAATTCCTTTGTGCCAAGAATTAGTCTATACATGGATCTATTCTACCCTTCAAAACTATTATTAACTTAACGGAAATAAGCAAAATCAGAGATACAACTTTCAAATACAAAGTACTTTCAAACTACAGCTACTGCATCACAACACCAAGACTCGTACAACACTGCAATGTCTGACTGACAGCTGACAGACAGACATTGGACACTTTGTACCAGTTAGAAGAGAAACAGAGCTTTTCAGAAGAAAGGGGATTGTTTGGCTGATCAGAAATTAAAATTCATTTTAATCAACTGACGTTGAGAGCCAAAACCAGAGTGCCTTCATAGACTTTTTAATCTTGTCTTTTATGTACATATTTCAGTTCTAAAGAAGCATTAGTCAGAATGCTCTGGAACTACAAAGGAGTTGACATAGAAACAAACACGTCCTTTACAATTCAGTAACTTTATAAACCAGGAAGCCATCCAATGAATATACATTTGAGACAATTCTACAGCTTTACCTACACTATATGATTTAAATACCAACTTCCAAACAACATAAAAAATAAAACTCACTGCACTTGCACAGCACTACATTTGCCAGCACCTCTTCTGGGAGAAGCAGGGGAAAAGAGGGTTTATTATTTTAAATAAAAAACTAAAGATTGTATGCATGGGCAAACTTCTTGGCATACTTGTGATGAGCCATCACAAGTATTACTACAGTTACTTGGCAAGTCAAATCAAGTAATTTTGAGATAGTCTCCAAATTACAAGTAAAATCTTGACATCAATTCTTGCACCAGTAAAGTATGTTGAACTCTGATTGCTTTACATAACTGTCATCCATTGGTAGGTACACACACCTTTAAGAAATTCAGTCATTCATAAATTATTATAATGATTTATAATTGTACCTGGGGAGAAAAGAAGCCAAAGGAGTACATCTTTAATTTCTATGTTTTAAAATTTTTGCAAACCATAAAAAAACCCACTATTGTTAACAGCCAGAGACGCCAAATACAATAGTTACTGTAACTCCTTTTCATCCAGCACTATGTTCTTGGCGTGGAAGAAATCAGTGAGAACCAAAGTCTGATTAGAATATAGTAGTCTAGTCACTATTAGGATAAACTCTAGAATGAAAATATTAAACACCGCATTACGGAAAAATATTAACCCGTTAGAATGCTTGGCTACAGCTACAAAAGGGACAAAGCAACAGCTTCAATTTAATCAAGCAGAGATACACACATTATTAAGTTACTTTTGTCAAAACCACACAGATTAGTCAACCAGTTTAGATAAAAATAAAGATCACATGCAGGTGAAACTTCAGGACCATTTCTTTTTCTTCACAAACTATTCTATGGTATGCAGAAATATCTTTAATTCATTCTTTTAGCCAAGAGAACAGAAAAACTATTATTCATAGAAAGTCATTATCCCACATATCTGCAACAAAGATTCCATGGGATTCATAATGGAAGTGGTATCTCTGACAAATGAAAAAGAAGTAACAAAATGAGAAAAAGAAGAAAAATTTTTTAAAAAAGGAAAACCAATTATCAAAGGTTTGAGAGGTGACAAGCAGAAATCACAAAGGACTTTGTGCTAAATGAACACCAACCACTTGAGACAGAGAAGCAGCCCAAAATCTGATATCCAAGCATTAATACAAATAAAGATATAACACGGCATCTTAAAGTCTTAGTTTAAGAAAAAAATTTCAGATATGACTGGACAAGGTTATTTACGGAATCCAGACTGTTCAACAACTTAACAGTTACACTGTCAGAAGACAGTGATATAGTTCTGGATGGAATTCTTGCTGCAACACCAAAATTACAGGCAGATGGTTTAAGAGTTGAGTAAGACACCCCTCGGTCTTCATAGATTTTGTGATTAGTTCTGTCAGCCATATGCTTCTCCCATCAAAAAAGCTCACAGTCTTGTCTCCTTTTGTCTCAGTCAGCTTGAAGTACAGAATTTATAAGAACATATAGTACAAGAAAAAGAAGGAATGTGAAGCAGACCTCTGGCATTTAGTATCATCTTTGGTGCCAAATCAGTTCATCACTTGAAGATTCCTCTCCCACATTGCCTCACTTTAAAGTAAAACCACATAATTATCAGTAAATCAGTTTCTCGGTAAATTTTCAGTTCTAAGATTCTCATAATAGTTCCAAATTTTATTAACAGACAGAGCAAATGGATGCACAGCCACATTACACAAATTATTTTAGGGTTACTGCAGTGCTTTTAAGAACCAAAGTGTGTCCTCAAACAGCCACATTTCCTCTACCAAGGGTTTGTATGACAAAGGTTGCATATGTGGAAGCAACAAGCTTTTGGTAGCCTACCGGCAAGCCAAGGTAAGCACATGCTTCACCACGCCTTTTAGAATCATAGAATGATTTGGGTTTGAAGGTACATTAAAAAGGTTCTCTTATCCAACATCCTCACCATGGGCAAGAACATCTATTAAATCACGTTGCTCATGGCCCCATCCAATTTAACTTGGAATGTTTAAAGGGATGAGGCACTGACTACTTTCTAGGCAACCTGTTCCAGTGTTCTACCACCCGCACTGTAAAAGACTTCTTCCGTACGTGTAATCTAAACCATCCTTGTTTCTTAAAATCATTACACCTTGTCCTGTCACAATAGGCTTGGCTTAGAAGTTTGCCCCTGTCTTCCCTATAGGCCTTCTTTCAGGTATTGAAAAGCTGCAAGAACATCTCCTCAAAGCCATACTTTTTGCATTCTGGATCACACCAGCTCTCTCAGCCTTTCACTATTGCACAGGTGTCCCAACCACCTGATGGTCTTTGTGGTCCTCCTCTAGACCTGTTCTGTGTCTTTCCTGTGCTGTGCCTCTACTTCCACTGTCTGTGCATTTCCTTCCTGCCCTTTAGTTTGACAAGCAGGTCAAACATAACTTGCTAGGATTGCTACAAGAACTGAGTGACTGGGATGAGAACATTTGTCCATTCACAAGCTGTGATATAATGATTTATGAGTGTGGCTATTATATTGTTGTGATATCTTGTGATATTGGCAACATTAGATGTGAGGGTGAGACTTTTTCTAAGGCAGAACTGCCTGTCTGTCAATCTCCACCTTAAAGCTGTAAAGTCTTTTTCAGAAATAAGCTGTCATTCTGTGTTTTAACTATCAATATGGATTTACTATGTACATATACAAAATGTGTATTGACAATGACTGGTGTCACTGTTGCACATAAAAATTTCTGATGTATTAATAAG